GTTTTGCAAATATCTCAGCATTTCATACAAGTTATATTTCGCAATATAACCTGCCATTAAGAAGAGAAAAAAAAGGCAGTAAATAAAAGAGTTAAGACTACTTGTTGTATTATTGCGTGGGAACACCTGTGTGCTATTCATGAGGGATGATGAAGTGAGGCTCACCAAGATCAAAAAATCAGCCTGAAATAAGGCGCCAAATCACGTTTGATGGGGAGGCACCCGTCTTTCCTGTCCATTTTTGGTTTTTTGAAATTTATTCAAAACGCTTTGAAAGCCTTGCGTCTTGAGGTTTTTGATTTCTGTCCAAGGACCCTGATAGTTACTTTAAAATCATCATCGTTGCGTTCTGCTGCCCTTGTTAACCTAAAGGAGTGCTTTGTTGAATTCTAAGTTTCTTATCTAGATGTCCTTTTATGCGAGCCAAAAGTGATCTATCTGTTTCTCCAATGCATTCACCTCATTTCTCCAATGCATTCACCTTCACCTCATGCCTTGTATATTGTACCTGAACTCATGCAATCCATGACTCTTTTGTTAGGAAAGATCACACAATTTTCTGAGCTGCACAATCGATAACAGAGGCGGTTGCGCACTACTTTTTCTTAGGCGCCTTTAGTGGCGTGACATATTTCGTTTGATATAAGGGGTAGCTCGAAAGGAGCCTTATTTAGGTCTTAAACATTATTTTGTGGCAGAACCCTAGCATTTGGTCTGACGCAAGTGTCTCGTGCATAGACGACTGCTTCATCGTCTGTTCCGCAGAAGAACATATGGATGAGTGCTTTGAATTGTTAAATAGACAGTCGGAGTATATAAAATTTACTCGAGAAAAACCAACGCAGAAATGTTTTCCGTTCTTAAACATCCAAATAAAGCTCTCGGAAAATGGCTACATAAAAGAGTGGTGTCGGAAATCAAGTAGTAGGAATATACTAGTATTTTATCTCTCCTGTCACAGATGAGAAGAAAAACATCAAAAACGTGTGCAAAGGAGAAAAGGAGAGGAAGGAATTGCTAAACTTTACACAGAGAATGGCCATTTTTAGCAGCTATGAAACGGAAAGTATTCGGGTCAGTCTAAACCCTTTCGAGCTGCCCTTAATGTCTGACGCAATAAATTAAGAGATGTTTTAGAAAAAAGAATCCGCAACCGCCTCCGCGAACCTTTGTGGAGCTCAAAAAACTGCTTAATCTGTCCGGCAGAGGAAGGGATTGCATGAGTTCGGGTAGGATATACCTAAATTCTTATAAGGAATGCGATGAAGAATACATTGCCGAAAAGAGCAGACTACTGCATGTCAGCACGAAAGAACATCTAAATGAGAAACGTAAAATTCAACAAAGCACTCTCCTCGCGACGTATAAGGCACAGAAGCACAACTGTGACGATTTTGAATTGACTTTCATGGTCTTGGTGCACATCGACGTGCAGGACTCTTGAAGTGTTCTGAATAGATTTCACAAGTCCGAAGATGAGCCGGATAGGCGAATGCCTCACTATCACACGTGACGCAGAGTCCATTTTAAAGTTCATTTTTTGTTCTGAGTGAGTGTGCATATGTATGATCTGTCATTATCTCACGTGAACAACACGCGGGTAGTTCCACACGCAACAAAACGGTGAGTAGTTTTTAAACAAAATGGCGTCAATTTATATGTTAGGTCTTCATTAGTACTACAGATTAATCATCAAATTATTTGGATAGCTTAACATAAAACACGTCCAGCCTCTGATGAAAGCAAAGCTGCTGAAACTTCAGCCATCGAGCCCACAAAAACAACAACAACAGCAACTGATACCGACCTCGCATCAGCTCAACGTGGGAAGTTCGGAAGAATATATATATATATATATATATATGCCGATTATTCACGCTGATATTTGTAGAAAGTCGGTCTTCTGAGTTATTTGGATGTATTTTGCACAGTTTCGAATAGAACACAAGAAATTATCACTCATTCCTCCAACTTCACAGAGGTGTTGAATAAGCTTCTCTCGCCAGAGGGAAACAAAAGACGTCACAATTTTGGCACGATTACTATTATTTCCATCCCTGTAATGAAAAAGGTACCCAAGGAGAGCTCGCCATGCTTTAGCATCGTATCGGTCCACTTTTAGTCGGACGTCCAGAGGAAAATGCTGAACTCCATCTCAGTGTGGATTGCCTTACTGCGAAACAAAAGTTTTACTATTCGTCACAGTTCAACACTCATGAACTCGCCATCTCTAGTTTCGACGAAGCGGTAAAAAACAAATATATCGGCACTTACAAAGGTGTACGAATACTGTAGCTGATATGAATATAAAGCGATTTGCATGATCATTAATATGTTAGAAAAATTATACTCTGTAATTCAACCAATACCTCCTCCATAGTGAAGATTCGGGACGCGTTTAAATCTAGAAATTGTGGCCAAAACATCGGATTGTAGTCAGTACTGGCAAAGAGAAGCGGATTATAGATTGCCTTGAACTGTTCGCTAAACAACACCGAGCCGATCCTTTCGTTCTTTCCATCCACTCTCCCTGAATTTCTTCATTATTCATTATATTAGGTCATTGGTTTGGTTAAATGTAACATTAATTGTGTTGCATTTGTTGTATGAACTTAGTCGATCTTCAGGACGGCTTTCTAACTACTAAGGCTTTTATAAGATTTATAATTTTTTCTTGGCGCTCGCTTAAGTGTCATTTGCTTTTTTCTATGCTTATTCGGCACAAGTACAATTATCGTGCGGAATAAGAACATTACAACAACTATTATTACTCTCTACAGGAAAGACTTTCTGTTTTACCATCATTCTCGGATATATAGTATGTACACCTCTTAACACCGTTTCTATTGTCATATAGCCTATCCCATTTCAAATTGTTTAGCAGAAGACGCGCGTGCTTGCCCTACATCTGTACCTCTCGACAACTACCGGGCAAGCAGCGTCGCCTGCTGGTTCTTCCTTACGACCTTCTCCGCCAACTTGAACCGTGGGCAGCGTCATTTGGAAGCTGGTTGCACCGTTTACATCATCTTATATAGCAACATTCCCCACAAAAATGAATGCTATCTATCTAATCTCATTTGAATTCACATGAGTTTAAGCTTTTGCTTTTATATAAGCTGTTGTATCGTTGTTATATCAGTGTTCTGTTAGAGCAGCTCTATTAGATTGTACTAACTGAGAAACTTTTTAGAATCCCCTTTTGGGAATTGACTCCTGTTTTTTATACCAAAAATCCGTTTGTTACAGAAGGGTGTACACAACACCATTAATCACCCTTCACTTCGTACAAATAGCGTTCATTCAGTGTTTATCTTCTTCTGCCCATTTCATTGCACCTAGTATAACTCGATCATCAAGTGCTCCACTAACATGAGCAACCTATAACCATCAGTTCCACGTTATCCCGTTTCCACTGTAGCCACTGATATTTTAGTTATTCTTCATTCCCTGGTACCATTGTTTTTCATATTACTTCTCCAGGTTATTCGACAAGCTTCTCGCGCTACCACTTGCTCCTCAGTTGGGTTGAATTGTATACTATGTGAAGCATTTTCCTCATATTACATCACCAGTTTATTCCAGGATTACTCTTTCATTTTCAATATAACTTCGTCTCCATTAGTATATGTTTGCTTGCTGACCCTGCTGTGGTCCTGGCGATTACACTGTTCTCGTTTCTTAATGTCATAACGTCATTGTTGTTGTCGTTAGTATTATTAGTATTATTATCATTATTGTTCTTGCTGCTGTTGCAGTTGTTGTATGTGTCGCTATAAGCGGCTCAATTACCCAAGTTTTAGGTTTCCAGCTACGGCACTGGCAGAAAGACCCACATAGGAGGCCGAAAGAAGAGTAGCAACTACTAGGCGAGCTAATCAACACAACTACTGAAATGTCTAAAGCACTGCTCAGACAGCTTGGAGGCTAAATAAGAATAATATAAAAAGATATTAGCAGAAGTTGTAATAGCATCCAAGTTGTAAAATGTGGTACTGATAAAAGAATGACTAGCGTTCGGTCTCGATCGATCCCTGATAATGTTCTATGCACTCGAACCTCATTCGAAGACAAGACTGAGTGCATATTTGGCCTACAGAATTAACTACGAGAGCGAGGCGATACATTGGCCAGCGTTTTTCCCTCCAAACACAAGTCTGGTGTCATCTGCTGACCACGAATGCATGGGAGGCTTGATTTTTCTGGGTTGAGGGAGCGAACCCTGTGTTTACATTTTCTACATGCGCCTGTTTTATACAATAGCTCTTCTAAACAATATTTAGTCGCTTTTTCTTTGTTTGGCAATACGACACGCAACAGTTGCAGTGTTTCCTAGACAATAAAAGTATTTGTTTTTTAAATTATAAATTATAATGAACTCACATGTAGATCCAAATTGCTCATATATCATCTGTGTTGTAGCCGCAGTAAATGTATCACCTGTTGACCGTGTCACTTGACCCGTCACTGAAGTTAAGTCGTCATTCGGATCATTGTTGTAAACGCCTAAAAATGAAACGTGTTAGTAAATAAGCTATAAAGAAAACGGATCGCACATCTGAAATACCTGTTTGGTAATCGAAAGAGAAAGAAACAACTATACTGACAAAGAACATGGAAAATGTACTGCACAAATAGTAAAACAATTTGTGAGCGACAATGAGAATGTTGAAGTGGCGAACGACAACAAAGATCATGATGTTGAATAGTGCAAATGAGTCCAGGCATAGGAAAGGAGGGTAGATTCTCAGGTAACTAAGAGGTACAATAAGAGTACCATTGTTTTGTTAAGTTATTGAGAGCAAAAAGTGAACGACAGAGGTCGTGAGCGGCGGTAGGAGAACGACATAGAGCGAATTCATGTGGTAAGTAGTTGTTTTGTGGCAAAGGTGCAAGACTTACCTAATAGGCCCAGTGTCGTGTAACATCGTCGTGTGCCATCTATAGAATTCAGCGATGAAGAAGCGGTTACACCCGGCTATAAATGAGGATTTCCGAAAGAAAAAGATTATTTTGAATACATTCGGAAGCCGTGATACCTTGCAAGTTGTATTATAACTGGGTGGAAGTGAGACCATGACATCCAACATTCCATAGCTTTCCTGCACTCTAATGCCAAGGCCCGATTTTAGCATGATTATTAGTTCTGACTGATCCATGTTCTGTAGGGGGTTCCGTAGATCAACATCTAAGTAATTTTAGTGAGAAATGGATGATTCCACTGCTTTTTCAGCACTAGACTTCTTCGCATGCTCACTTTTAAATTGTTGATACTTCCAGTGTGGTTTATCGAAGAAACGCCTAGTGCCATCGACGTAGACATCAGTACGATAGCGCCACCGCCGCATTGGTTTGCGGGCGAACACCTACAACCAAATGTAAAGGATAAAGCGTTCGGCGTTGATGAATCTCTAGGGAGATCCGCTACGCATTAGATTTCATCACGCATCTTTAGAGGTGACTGAGTGCATATCTGGCCTATACAGTTACTTGCTTTGGCCTACCGATGTATCAATTCAATGTTTCTATCTTCCCAGACAAGTCTGACACGAATTTGCCGACCCCGGAGAAATGGAATGCTTGGTGAGGCCAAGGTCCACGGCCAAACCAACGACCACTTTTGCATTGCAGAGTACCTCTAACCACTGCGCCACTCGTGCCTCGGAAGCGAATGTACTGTATGGGTAACAAAGACAGCTAGTATCAGATCTGTATAATTAAGATTGGAAAGCGCGAAACAGTATATGAAGATCTTTCATATAATTTTTCTATTGACAAAGAGTAATGGAAAAAATTTGAACAAAAACAAATGATTTATACTTTTGCTCATAATTCCACTTCTTTCACCAGAGGTCAATGAAGAATCTATGCGTGCCAAATTTTCTCAAATGTTTCTATTCACTCGTGGGATGCCAAGTGCATATTTTCGCTCATGATCTCTGGAAAAAGTCTGATCATCGACTCGATGATTTTCATATTGGACACTTTTCCCCGAGGAGCCTAATGAGCAACAGTTCTTGCCGCTGGCTTTCGTTAAAACTTAACACCTTCGATCTGCCAAATTTTGATATGAAGAAGCGCCTCCGATTAATGTCTTTGATGATCTCTGTTGGTTGTTGACGTAGGTCAGCACTTCAGGTTTCTTCAAAGGCAGGCTATTTACGTATACGAAGAAGAGAGTGAATGACTGTCAAAACTGAGCACAGTGGTTCATCACCACATCTTCAAGTGCCTTCGTAAGCTCTCTAAAAAGCTTTCACATTTTGCCGTTCGAATGACGTTCGCGAGAGCGGCGGCAAATGATTTTAACGAGACAGCACCGCTCTTTAGAACCTTACTATTTACGTTAATGACAAATCCGCTAGAGACCGATAGAATTAGGTTGTGATGTTTCCATATAGCTTAGCAAAGACTTTTGTGTACTGAAAAAACTTGAACCGCTGGCTCAGAGCTTTTTTGATCACTTTTGTTGGAATATTCTTCCATTCGGAAGTCTATGAAGGTGAAAAAAGTGACATGTGGTACTTTCGCAACATATCACCTTATTCATTGATCTGACCACTAGAAAGCCATTCTATTCACATAGCTGCGGTGCCTCTATATCATATTGAACTTTGGAAGAAAAACCACTTAATACGAACAAGGCATCTGCGTTTACAATGATGTGGATAGCAAACACAACACCATGATGCCGGAATATTTACAAAACTTGGACCTCTGCCCAGACTGAACTCGCGATTACCATTTCTGGGGATAATAATAGACAGTCCTCCCAGCGATTTACCGCCTCATCGCGGTTGGGAGGAACTCCGGGCCGTCAGACTGCAGTGTACAGTGGAGATTTATCCCTTGTCAGGGTCTCCCAAGCCGAGAAGGTGTCCAGCGTTTCTATCAGGAAGCCTAGTTAAGAGTGAACCGATACCAGGACCCACCACCGTGCTAGTATCAAAGTCGCACGTTGGCAAATCTCCTTCTGATCCATTAAGGCGGCGACTACCCGTGGTTGTACAGACCTGGGGCAGGCTTTGGCCAGGCTGACCTCGGGATTCTTTGGAACCATAATGGCTTAACCGGCAAACCTCTGAAAAACGAAAACTATGGTGGGACTCGTACAACCAATTAGGACGGGCATTCAAGTATCAAGTATCAAGTAAGTAAGCAATAATAAGCAGTACATGAAAAACTTAACATTGTGATTTCGAGTGCAGCCTCAGCTTCACTGGGTTCAATACCGATTCGTGCTCCCCAGATCATTCCCGTTGAAGGACGATTGCTGTTGGCTACATTAGGCAGAATACTGGTTGAGAGAAAGGCAATGAAAGGGCTTCGATGGTGGAGTGGATAACCCCTGAGCCACCGGAAAGTGTAATCGCGGCTTCGATATGGGCTGGGGTCCAGGTTTCGAGAATACCTCAGCATCGTTGTGATTGCACTTCACATCATACCCTGTCATGAGAAATAATAATAGGCAGTGAATAAAAAAGTTAACAATGTTGAGAGTTTTGCTGCGACGTTATCTTCTGAGAAATTTCCACATCGAACGTTACGAGGACTTCTCGAATTGAGATGGTCTTGGGTGCTATGACAAACATAGACGGCCGATCACTCTGTTGGCTTCGCTCTAGTTGGTGGCCCCAATTTTTAAATTCTTCGAAATTGTGGAACAGCCTTCGCTTTGAAATCGCCAGTGATTATCTTGTAGAAAGTACGGTTTACCTACAACTCGAACATCTGAAGGTCCATATGGACTATGGTCCGTTGTTATGGTCCTAGGTTGATGTTGGTACATAGGCGAAGAACTTTGGTCTATCAGGTATTGGTTAACATCTCGGTAACCATAGCTCTCCGATTCGAGCTACTAGATCAGTTCGGTGCATATGTACACACGCTATCCATGCACGCATCAAATAGCCTCTCGAGAAGCCAATGGTGAATCGCTTCGTGGAATACCCGTGAAATTGGTAATTATAACGCCAAATGTAGACCTTTTAAAAAGGAAGGCATGGAAACTGACGAGAGTACCTCGTATCAACTGCGTTATATGCAGTTTTAAATCAATTGTTTGGATTACTAAATAATTTTAGAAGGTTACCGACGGATTTTTTAAACATTCTCACAATAGACCTAAATGTTTACGGCACGAAGCTTAATACAACGTATAAGGGAAAAAACGTAAAATTATTTTCATTGTGTTTTTCACCTGTACTATAGAACTGTCATTCTCCTGAACAGCTAACCCTGTTATTACTGTAGCGTTAACATGTGCGTGCCCTGAAGGAAAAGCAGAGTTAATGCAGAAAATTAAAATTTAGCGTGAACAACTGAGAAAAGAAATTAAGAGAGCAAATCCACCATAGTGAAAAACATGGATTCGACCCAAATGCACCAGACCACAAAATCAGGCAATTACTTGAAAGAAAAGAGTTCACGAGTTAATGAAAGGAAAAAGGAAAAGATGAGATGTGATAGTATAATCTCTAATTAATAAGCTACATTATAATGTGACGATAAAGAATTTATACTGTAATTCTTAGTACTAAAAACCGCCATGCACTCGACTTCCTCAAGCCTCGTAAGGCTGACTGAAAGGATATGAGGCCTGTACAGGCCAGCGGCTTACAGGTCTATAAAGTAAGTGCTTTAATCCTACTAGACAAGTCTGTTACCGATTAGTTGACTTCGAAAGGTTGGAGGGATTAGTGGGCTCGGGGCCTAGAACTCTGGGAAACGACCTTACATGTTGTAGGACACCTCTGAACTCTGCTTTGTTCTATTGATAAGCTCTTACGAGATTGTTACGAACCCATATAACGGTTAATGATTGGTGCGATTTTGCCTTCATTAATGCCATGGTGATTCGAGTCGAGTGTTTACAGCAGTTTGTCCTTTTTCCGATGCGGATCTCCTTAGGCGTCACGTCGAGACGAATCCAACAGAGCGCAGGATCGCACGAATGAAGTAAAGACACTCAGCAATGGTCTTTTCATAGAGGACTGTAGCAGCGCTGAGGTAACCTGTCTCTACTCGGCAATTCCTCGGAATACAATACGACTCTTGGTCGATTACCGACCAAAATTGTTCCCTTTGTGGTGGCAATGTATCCACCCTTCCACTTTTCTTGGTCTATCTCGATGCGGCGACTACGAAAACCAGCATCGCAAGAAGAAACAACTACTGTGGGCACTCCACTCAAATCATCGCGAATCTAATGATGGCGGAATCGCCGAAACTTTAGCTATAATAATGCTATGTAGCGGCCTCTAAATGTAAGCTTGTCAATAAAGCGAAAGATTGATTATCTATGCTGAGATTTATTGAAAGTAGGTATTCACATTATTGTTCTAACGAAATGTCCCGATTGATTCCCGTTTTCATATAAAGTCTTACCAAACTCGAAATAGGAAGAAAAGCATTCCCAAACAAGGAGTGCAATCTAGGAGTAAAGCACGGTCATCCTTAAACGCAGTATTCCACAATCTGGTTCCAGCTGATAATTATCTGCTTACAGGGAGTGTCATCTGGTTGTTCAAGTCGTACTTGTACCATCAATTTATGTGTAGGATCATCGCTCATAACCAAAACAAAATAGCCTTTTCCAGGAAATGTGTACCTTACTCCATCAAAAGTAACGACATGTGGTTCGCCATACATATACCTGAAATGGACGAAAAATCTGAGATCAACACTGTCGTCAGTGGCAGTTGTCCTTAGCGTTATGCACCAGACAACAAATGCATGCATGATCAGCAAACTTAACTACATTTGTTTAACACTTAGTTACTTAACTATTTGTTCCTTTCGGTATTAATACTAATTTCCTAAGGATTATGTATGTTCTAACTGAAACTAATTTCATGTAAGACGATAGATCCACATCTAAGGAGTAACCGTGCCATAGCAAACAAACGAAGCAAATTTTGGGTGACTTTTCATGTGAATTAGTAAGTAGATAAACAATTTAACCAACAAATGGATAGAGACCTACCCAGCAGCTGGTGCTTTGTAGTCCTGACAACCGTTAGTCATGCGACGCCAGTAGTAGAACTCACAGTGTTGAGCATAACTTAATCAACAGATATACGGTAGCTATCGCAACTATATTCTTACATCTTTCCTGTAACTCTTACGTGCAGCACGTTCTATAAGGCATGAGATCAAGTTGATAGTTGGACATAGTCGGAATGAAAGGAGGCTGACGGAAAGGCGGTGCTCCGAATTTGTGAGCTCGAGCTGGTGTCCCTGGTTGGAAAAACCTGAAATAAAGTGGGTTGACCATTATGAATAACTGCTTTAATGCTTTGCAAACATATTTAAGCATAAAACACTGATTTTTTGCAAGTTTGAACTAATATTAAGAATACCTTGCCGAAATAATTCATAGACTTGACTATCCCCAAGCGTTTACCACCTCTCTTATCGATTTTTGTTACAATGTGCCGAAATGCAGTCTACAGAGTGGAATATATCCAACCGACAGAATTCGCTGAGTTTAGAAGAAACTATACACTCTCACTAAGAAAGCTGTTTAGGAATAAACCAATGCGTGGAATCACCGCTCTTCTAATAGCACGCTAGTTTTGAGGTCCTAAATCTCATTGTGGTCAACAGTAGTGCGACTACCTGTGGTAACGACATAAAAATGCGCTAAACGGCTTTCTCGAGACTTCAGAGAAAAAGCTTATTGCCTGAATAGACCAGTAAATTAGTAAGCTATTAGCTAGTTAGAGATAAATTATACTTCTAAGCCCACAATTCTTTCCGAAGACGGACCGCTAATCGTTCAGTATTGCGTCATGATTATGACTACGGTAATGATTTTGTGATTATGAATATGAATATATGATTATGACTACGATTATATGGTTGTGACTATGATTATAAATATTATTACTTCTAATAATTATTAATTACTACATCACCCGACATCACCTACTCTAGAATGCCACAAGTTCTCGCATTCGTTTTCGTCGCAGTAATCGTCCACAGTGGTCTTCGAACATTTCACGTGTTCAGCTGCTACTCCAGGATTTCGTTTTCTTTATGAATGTCGTAGAAAGCTGGTCGATTGGTTCCCCTTGCTATCATGGGGTTTGCCGAATTAGGGCGTTACCATCGTTCCCGCTTAAATGGGAAAAATGTGGAAAGAGAGAAAGGTTCGGAAGGGCAACTTGGTTCTTGATGGACTACATCACTAACCACTGCGAAAACGATGTAAAAGACAAAGCAAGGGTATCTGTTATAGCACACAAGACGCTTTGTAAATCGCGGGTTTGAAAACTGGGTTTCTGAGATTTGCTCATATCTCAGCATTCTTGTGAATGTACTTCACATTGCACCTGGTCATGAAAAAAGAATAGGTAGTGAGTAAAAGTTAAGATATTTTGATGAAAACAGTATAAGTTACATCGCACTCTCACCAACTGAGAAGTGGTTCGATAACAGGAGCGGACTTGCAAAAAGGGATGATCTAACCCTAACCGAATTGTTCTTATCGAACAGAGATATTAAGCTGATTACCTCGTGTAATCTCCATCTGGTTCCCAGTCGTCAGTGAACATTAAATAGCCTTCGTAGTCATAGCAGCATTGTTGTGATGCACCGAAGGAGCTGAATTTGACACCAAGTACCCATCTTCTTCCATTAGATAGAAAACACAAACTGCCGGTAGATTTCGAAAATTTTAAAAAATGTCATAGCCTCCTTAATGTTGTGCAGTTGTGGGAAAATAAGCTCTAAGTTTGAGATCAGTTGCAAAAGGATATTGTCATCGAACGTGCGGTCAGTATCTATTCCCCCACTGGCACTGTCACCGAGTACCGAAATATCCATTCATGTTACGAAAAATTGGTAATATTTCAGTGGAAAACTGTTTGCTTCAGCGACTCAATGCTTTTTTTTGAGTAAACTGTTAACTTTTTATTCGCTGCCTACTACAATTTCTTTATGCCAGGGTATTATGCGAGATACAACCACTATGGAGCTGAGATATTTGCAAAACTCCGGATAGTAGGTGTCTGCGGTGGGGAACGAACGCACAATTACCCTTTTCGGTGGCTAACACGTTCACCACCACAACAAGCGTGGGAGATAAAAAGTTATCATTGTCATTTCAACTACAGCCTCAGCTTAACTGGGTTCAATGCAGATTTGTACTGCCCAGATCAATCCCCTTGACCGGTGATTGCTGATGGCACTGATCGATAGATAACTAACTGAGGGACAGGCGAAGCGAAGGACCCGCATGGTGATGTGGTGAACGCGTTACTCCCCGGAAAGCACAATAGCGCGTTCGTTACCCACCGCAAACATCTGCAGTCCGGAGTTTTGCAAATATCTCAGCACCACTGTGGTTGTATTTCTTTTAGTAATTTTTACTAATTTAAATAGCGACTGACTTTATCATACCTTGGCTGAACGCTTTGAATACAGTGTTGGGCGCCCTTGTTAACTGGACATGAAGTATCACCATCCTTGTCACAATCCATAATCGGCATATAACGACCGAGATCAAGAACAGCCTAAAATCGATCTCTGTTTAAGGTTCATTAGCAGTTGTGTCATTAATGGGTATGTTAAGAGTTGCAAGTCAAAAAAATTCTCCATTCACTAGGATAGATCTGCCATCACGTGGAACAGAAATGGTGAGAGGCGTTGGCATATAGATAAACAGAGGGAAGGAAAAGAACAAAAGAAAGATACTGTAAAAGAAAGATCTGTAGTCACTTAGTAACTGAAATAGAAATACAAGGATCCTGAGTTTTTGCAACGATTTGCACTAGAAAATGAATGACGATTCATCCTAACGTCCGTTATTCCATCGATGTTTTCAAACATCAAATTACCACGAACAAGTTTAATTTCACTCCATCTATTCAACGTCAGTTCTTGTGTAACCCGATGGTTAGAGGTGTCCTACACTACATATGTGGTCGTTGGTTCGATCTCGGTCTCGGTCGACCAATCCTTCTCACTTATGCGTCACTTCGAGGGCACCAAAATTTTTTGCGAACATTAAAAAACAGTGGCTCGAATTAGCGGCAAGCCCCCACTAGTCATTTTATTGGTCAAATATGCATTCAATGAGCTCCACAGTGCTACGAATTGGGTCAAATGCATAACGCATTCCTAAAGGACCAATCAACTCCGGGAGCTTCACGCTTGGACGTCACAGCAGCAGGCGACGCTTAACAGTTGGATCAACCCCATTATCGACCGTCCTTTCGATATATGAATGAATAAGTGAGTTACCTGTGACATTTTGCACGGACATGGGGTGTCCTTCGTGAGATCAATCTGAAAATTTCGACGTTTTCCATCATACTCGAACCATTCGATACACATATCGAGCGCCCAGTTCTCACCATAATTGTCCCTCCAATCCGGTAAATAATACCTGCATACTAGTAATAATATTATATGATATTACATTATACGCGTATTATTGATTTTGTCGTCACGGAAATTCGAAATAACTTTGAGAGGGAGCTTAAAAATTTTAACGAACTTTACAGCAAACTCAGTTGACAACACTCAGAAAATGTAGTATGTAGTTCTAACGATGACGTGATGTACGAGGTTCAGAACAACTACTAGAGATTGATCTACATTCCATCATCAAACTATGGATATTGGTCACACTCTCTAAGGTGAAACCCAATGAGAAGTTGACAATAAGAATCAATAATGAGAGATATTTAGCCAGCACATACCACGGGAACGGTGTTGGTTTGCTCCATAGCACACCATCTTCAGTATTAGACAAGGAAACACGTACGAAACCGAATGTAAATTTTTGCCAGGCATCCTAAAAGTTGATCATTGAGTGAGATATGCAATTAAACCCTATTTATTTTCGTTCTATTTTACCCGGCCCAACATTACACTTCGTGCGGATCCCAGCATTCCATTCAAACGTTTCAAGCATCCACCATCTGAGAAGCTCTTGGGAATGGCGTGTGGGTCTGGTTTCTGTTTGATGACCTCGGTTTTCTTTATCAATATCGGCGAGTGCTGACCAGGTAGTTGATTTTCCGGAATGAGGAGAGCGAGCTGACTTCATACAAGTCTGGTACAAATTTTCCGACATCCAAAGGATGGGGCATTTGCTTACCCGGGAAAAGAGGGATCAAACCACGACCTCAAGCTTATTGAAAAGCTTCACTACTACTGTTCTACCTGCGCTCCTATAAAATCTATTAAAGAATGTAAGCTCAGTTTCAAAGAATATTCTTGTGTTTGTACGCTTACATTTCCACAATTATGTTTTCGATAGATTTCTTTAGATTTTCAGTTTGCACGAGGCTGTTAAAATACTTTTCACAAAAGTTCAAGCAAGTGAGGAGCCGCATGGTGTGGTGGTGAACGCGTTAGCACCTAGAAAGAGTGTTAGCGTGTTCGATCCTCATCGCAGACACCTGTGCTCCGGAGTTTTGCAAATATCCCAGCATCATTGTGGTTGTATCTCACAAACCTTAACCTGAAAACTTCCAGTGGACAGTAAATGAGACAATTAACATTGTGAATTCAGAGAAGCTTGTTGATTATTCACGCCGAGGTTGAGTGAAGCAGGTTCGGTGCAGCATTATATTTATCGCTTTTAATAACCGGCTTCCAATTAACCTCGGCGTAGGTAATCAATAATGTTTCGTTCCATTTTTTAGCTACTGCTAAATATTCATGCCGAACTGGAATGAAAGTCGGTTTTCAAAATTATTGCTCCGCTTTATGGGAGTTAATGTCATACCGACTGTACCAGGACGAATTGTCCGGAGAAGAGAAAGTAATTATCGCGGGACAATCAACGTCAACAACCGCCCTGTACAAAGGAGCACTGCCGAGTGGGGATACTTCATTCGAATTGTGCTCCACTCCAGAGGGTGCGACAACAAAGACACTACACAAGGACGACCACCCGTGAACAATGGTCTTGAATCGATAGGCTCTGATGAATGTAAAGACGCTGAAACGCTGGGCAATTAAAAATTTTATTACAATCTCATATAAGCGCATGAATAAAACAAAATATTACTATGTTCTCAGTTTTCTCTACTTTTAAGCTGTCTTGTCCAGTTTTCTTTCCTATTTCTTAATCAAGGGTTCAGATAACTATATCGGATTAACGGTTCGCGGAATGTACAGTGGTAGGAGATGTCCTACAACAATGTATATATGGTTAATCTCGATCTCTCGACTGACCTAGTCTCCCACCTCTACGGATTCAGTACATTGGTACGAGACATTTCTGGAGACGGCTGGAAGTTTCCAGTGATGAAGATCTGCAAACACTCTTGCACAGGTATCTCAGAATTTCAAGAGGTCTTCCTCTTATTCAGAAGGTCCGTCGTCTACCTATGATAAAGATCTCGTCATGATTCATTGTACAGTTTTCTCCGGATTTCAGAGGACACCACATTCCTGAACTCCTCGTATTAAAAACGAACTAAGGTGACAGATTCTCAGCGCCACAGCGGAACTACCTTCATAACTGACAATTGCAAGACTACGAAACGAAGAAGAGAAGTGCTGTGCTCAGCACCACATAAGAGGATGGCTCAACTAAGTATATCAGCAATTATATCTCTGAGTTTTTGTTGCAACAAAAATTTTAGCTCAGTTCCCTACGGTTCCAATGCAGCACAATTTTGAAATTCCTGAAGAAAACTGACTTTTAGTAGTGTTTGCCTTTGTAATGAAGGAGGATTAAACCTGTATGAACCAGTGTTTGGTATTCCTCTAGCCAAATAGTCGATTTGTGCAAAATGAGACCTTAAAGAGTAACGTGCTACAGAAGGAAAGAAAATTAGTAAGTCAATAAGCCCACCGATCAGCATCTTCCCAATAACCGAAGAGACTAATATCCACCCTGGCTCCGTAGTTGTACGTTAAGTTTAGCGCTTGCCAATTCATTGTTAGTGCTTCGGCAAACGGTTGGTACCTGTCAATAAACATAGATAACCGTAGACTAAAAGACAGTAATAAACAAATAATTGCATCTCGTTAGATCGCCCTCCTAACGGTTTACCGCCTCATCATGGCTGGGAGGTGTTCCTGTGTGTCGAACTGCGATGTACAGTAGAGAGATTCGACCCCCGGCAGGGTCTCCCAGGCTGAGAAGGAGTCCAGCGTTTTTATCGGGAAGCCTAGCTAAGAGTGAACCGATACAAAGATTCACCACAATCCTGGTATTAGACTAGTCGCGTGGTGGCAAATCTCTCTCTGATCCACAAGGACTGCGACTGCCTGTGGTGGTAAAGACCAGGGGTAGACTTTGGCCAGGCTGACCATGGGATTCCAGGGAACCACAATGGCTTAACTAGCAAATCTCCGAAAAATGGTGATTTTGCTGTGGCCCGCACAACCAGTGAGGATGGGTTGTTCGAGTATCAAGTATCATTAAATTGTCAACCATCGATTGTATATGTTGTCTACATCGTCCTTCAACGACACTCCTGCTGGAGCACGGTCTGGCGCTACTGAAATTAGAAAAAATGAGAAAGTTGGCGGTACTTGAAAAGGACATAGGCGGTGCATTCACTCACCGACATAGAACTTGCCGTAAAACGGAAAACTTTGTCCACCATCACGACTCATACGAATTGGTACGAGACCAATCCTGTGAAACATCGGCATTACACAACGAGCTCGTACTCGATTCAAACGTTTGCAGTCGGTTTGCCAATTCTCAAAATTCACCTAAAATAGAAGAAGAAGAGCTTCTTTTAAGAGAAAAAACTATTAACGGGATTGAAGTCACAGAAGGCCTTGAAGCATTTCACATGGGAATTTCAAATAACATAAATACAAACTGCTTTAACTCTGATTCTGGCACTAATTAACTAATGGATCGGTTACGAATAAAAAATCTCTCAGTCATTTATGTGGTGATTCCTAGTTCGCGGTTAGTCCTAAAGCTATGTAATGCGTTCCACGGTCTGTAGATGGGGAAGCCTTCATAAGTTTCCACACTATGGAATGGCTACGGTAATAAGCTGCACTTACAAGGAACAGAGGTAAATAAACAGAAGGTCTCGCTGGTACTAAGTTCAAAGTACCACCGAACTGAATGAGACGAAAAGAGACCACTCTCTAAACAACATTTTTACACTGGAATTGTTTCTCAGACCACAAGTGAGTAGGACAGCTCGCAGAGGTGGTGTTCTTATCAACACGAACTTAGCTGTTAACATCGTTCCTCCTTGATCGCTAAATACCTAAGTTGAACGAAAGTTGAAAAGTACTTGCTAACCTGATTAGTCCGTCTTTGTCGTCAAAACTTAGACAAGAGGTATTTCATGTGGGCCAATATCACTAATGTTACCTCCTAATTCCATAACTTTTTCTCTTGACATTGGTGCCTCACTATGAAGAATGCTTCAATGAAATTAAGCACTTCATCATTGGTCGAAGTTCTTATTTAGTTGGTGCCTTCTGTAGTTCACCATGATTTGAAAACACTGTTTCTTCGCATAGCATTTTTCCTCCCGTGTAAAAAAAAGCCATATTTTTCAGTAGATGTGATCCGAAGACCATGATAGGATAGGCGGTATAAGCTATCCACTTTGCACCAAGTACCAAGCACTAAACTTAACATTGTCGTTAGGTCGGAGACATGGACCAGATACGTTGATGGCCATGCCGCCTTGCATGACACCCCATGGCGGTGCAGTGATCATGGTACCTGAAGCATCCGAATCACTCTGAGCATTTTAATGTAACAATCAGAAGTTACGAACCAGTGGAAGCATTTGTGCACCCGGCCGGTATAATCACTTCATCGATACGATGTATCCATCTTCCCGGTGTGAGCACATTCGAAAAATAACCGAGTTTCCATACACGTCCTAAAATCAACCGAAAACTAGACAAAAAGAAAAACAGAAACTAGACGAGTAAGGAGAAATAGGAGACGATCAATACAAGAGGGCAGTGGTGCATTGAGTCTCTTTATCATCAGCCTTACCAGATACTCTTGGGAATAGGTATAGTGAGCCAGACTTGCACCTATAGGTGTAGTAAGCCACACTCGCACCCATAATAGGTGTAGTAACCCACACTCGCACCCATTGGTGTACTAAGCCACATTCGAATCTATTTTTGGCTTATTTTTGTAACAAACAATGAATAGAGAAGGGTTCATTAGTGCAAAAAACAAAAGTGAAATCGAAAGATTTTCGAGAAACATACCATGTCCGGAATACGGTAATTGGTACCAGCCGGTACCGTTCCCACCGTTGAAGCCTGCAACGGCGGCCTGCTTTCCTCCAAATCCGTTGAGCCCTGAAGTTTTCGCCTAGAGTATTAATAAAACAATGGGTATCTGCAAACGTTTGCAGTTCTCCTAGTTTCTTTTTTTTACTGACCACCAGCCTCGTTGCTAGTAGTCCAATTCAGTCGGGCGTAGTTGAAAATCGCAAAAGTCCTGAAATAACAAGTAGCTAGTAGGTTTTTTAAGTTCTATGAGGGTAGATAGACTCATAATCGAATCGTTTTTTCAGCAGCTGTTATTGTTCGTTTTGGTTCTACCTAATTTCGTCGCTGGCTACTACTAGTTGAAAGGTGTTCTGCCAATCCTTCACGTGTTCGAACTGCGAAACATCAAGCGCTCTTGGAGCACCACCATACGCCATCTGAAGTAGATGTTTAGGTTTCTTTGCTTTTTCCTCGCTTTATTTCATGTTCCCTTTCGTTTTTCACCCGTCTGGTCCCTCAATCTTAGTCACATCAAATAAACAAGGTTTGTATTTTATCACAGAAAATGTTTTTCTTGACGCAATGATCGGTGTCAAGTGGTTCTTGGATTGGATATATTTGCTTACCCCTTGAACGATGAGACAGATAAATGGTGCCACTACTAATGCTGTAGCCTTTTTATCCAAACGATGGCATCAGCAATCAACCATCAACGGAAATGATCTAGGGAGCGCGAATCGACATTGAATTCAGTTAAGTTGAGGCTGTAGTCGAAATCACAAACCTTCAGCTTTTTATCTATTGCCTATTATTTTTCACCACAGGGAAGGAAGCCAGATCAAGGGACTCAGTGGTGCAGTGGGTAACACGTCAGCTCTCGTAAAGGGCAATCGCGGGTTCGAATCTGGTCCGGGGTCTAAGTTTTGGAAACGCAAGTCTAGTTGTATTCAACGGAAATTAACAGCAACCTAAGTTTTAATGGAGTGTTTCACATTTTCGAAAAGAGGAATACCAAGTAAGTAGAACAAATAAAAGCACTTCACATCTTAATTACCTTGTTTCTTAAGCATTCTTCAGGATAAAAACCTACCCTGTACCACGTGACTATGAACGCGTGCTCTGCTCGCCACCCATTAGCTCCAGTATATCCGTCCTTTAATGGGAGCATTAGCGTATACGGTAACCCAGCGAGATAAAAGAATTCTTGCTCACTTTAGTATTTAGTCCCAACATCCTCACTACGGTTTGATTTTATACCGCATGTGCTTTAATGGTAAGCCATATGCTGGCAATCAAAAACTTTGCTTAGCACACTTAGCACCACTTCTATCTGGGGAAGGGAAGAAATTCGATTATTTCGATTTCTAGGATAGTTACCCTGCTAGAGGACAAAAAGAAAGTTGCATCTCAAGAACCACCTGTTTATGCCAAGTTTCTGAGAAAAATCGTAGCTCATAGCGTTTCGTCGTTTTCTTGTTCAGCAATCGCGAGGTTTTTAAACAGCATACATTTACTTCTATAGAGAAACACAATACAATACAACACTAGCTGACGTTTCGGCAGTGTCGCCTTCTTCAGAGCCGCTTTTTACGTGACTTCCAATGAGGAAGGTTAGGACAGCTGATTATAGTCGCATATGGTTGATGACTGCACCATCCCACATCAAAAATCGATGCGAACACACGGGATCAGGTCGCGTATGACCTCCGGACATTCATCCCTGCTATTCATTGTAGAGTTTTGGCATTTATCCAAAAAGCCTCAAAAAGTTTTCGCGCTGGTGTTTTGGACTCCTGTGCAAGGATATTGACTTTTACTTCAAAATCGTCTCCGCTATGCTTTTCTATCCTACGCGTGCCTACTTGGAGCTGCACTACGAAGCAAGCAGAACGAGATGTTTGCCAGAATGAAGAAGTGTGCAACGAAGGAACATTTTTGTGCTTTGTATTTGGAGGATCGCCTTTGGAGGAGGAAAGTTGGTGGGTCAATATTGATATGAGATTTTATTAGATCTAATGCCAAAATAACCTTACAACGGAAATTCGAAAATCTTTTGGGTAATTCGCATGTCTCAGCTTCAAGAAATAACCGCAAACCAATTCCTTACGCTTCTGATAATAGTCAAAATAGAGATGATAATGCACCAAGAAAATCTAGGGTCACCTAAATCTAGGACAAAATTGGGGGCACAACAATACCTGAGAATGCGCGCTCGCTATTAGAATTGGGCCCAAGTTTTGCACCATCATAGCCCATTTCTAAAACGACTCTACGTAGGATAGCATGCAACCTTTATGAGCTTCAAGATCGACTCCGCTATCAGGCCAAGCAAGAAACATCAAATAGAGATAAAAATCAAGAAGCGGCGACACTACCACCATCTCCTTTCCCTAAAACGTTTTTTAGGCAGCAGGACCCCATCGATGGAGTGACATAAAATTCCGCGTGTTTTAGGACGGCGTTCTCAAGACTCTTGATCACTACCGCGATAGAAAGTTTATCTCTAACCTTACAGCCGCACAAAAATGTGGGATGCGGAAAATTAGAGAATTAATAAACTCGAAAACAATAAGATTGTCTGTTAGTGATAAAGGGGAGAGTTCGTAGTTATCTCTCGCCAGCTGGATGTTGAGATAACAGAGGAACATCTTAGTGATGCTACTCTCTATCGCCCATTCTCTGAAAAGGAATATAAAAGTCAATACCGAAAGCTAAACAATCAATGGGTCAGCGTGGCAAAGGCTGCAAGTTTAAAATCATCGGTTATTTTGCACTTTAAAATCGATAGAACAACATGTCCCGTCCTATACCTACTTATCAAAACACATAAGTTGGTATCACCTGATGATAATGCGTCAACCAATCCGTCATCATTTAAGGTTAGACCGATCATCAGCTGTTTAGACGGGCCAACGGAGAGAATAACCTGGTTTTTAAGCCTGATACTTACCCAGTTGCTTAACCACATTCCAGCTCACCTCACAAACACCCAAATGTTCCTAGAACGTCCACGTAACGCGTCTCCTAATAACGCGTACGTTATGGAGTCTTTCGACGTTACCGCACTGTACAGCAACGTGTCGAATGACTCCGCAATGCAAGCCATCTTCGAACTTCTTGTTGAACATGAAGGAAGAATAAATATGCATGGCTTCTCCATCCGGCAGCTAATTGCTCTCTTAAAGGAGTGCCTAAACTACTCGATTTTCAGATGGTCTGGGAAATAGTTCGCGCAAATAAGGGGGTTGGCAATGGGACAGCGACTGGCACCAAGCCTTGCCATTGTGTTTATGTCTAAGATAGAAGCCCCTGTTCTCGATCTCCGGCCACTAATCTACTGCAGATATGTAGATGATTGTTTTGTCGTCTTCTCTACGCAGGAGGAGATGGACAAATGCTTTGAATTATTGAACGAGCAGTCCGAGTACATAAAGTTCGCCCGGAAAAACCGAGAAAAAACTGGCTTCCGTTTTTGAACGTTCAAATAAACCTGTCAAGCAGCGGTTACCTGACAAAGTGGTACCGAAGCCAAGTAACAAGAACATTCTTGTTCATTTCCTTTCTTCCCACCCTTCACACAGAAAGAGGGCGATTGTGAGAAACATGTTTCCAACAGCCACCTTTGTGTGCATTTCCCGGGAACTAAAGGGAGAATCGCGCGACTTGGCTCGGTAAATAGCCATCTCCAATGGCTACGAAATAGTAACCCCACGAGATAAGTTTAGAAGGAGAGCGACGCGCCCACGCGAAACACTTGGCCAAAAGAAGGTCCCGTTTATGTTGCCTTTTATAAGCGATGAAGTGAGCGTAGCTATAAAACGATGCTTAAGAAGGGCACGTCTAGAGGAATCGGTAGCTATAGCTGAAATACCACCGGCTACTCTACGTCATCAATTAGTTCGTAACCACCTGTATGACCGTCTATTTGAAACAACAAATTGCGTAATTTGCCCTTACGGCAGGGACGGTGATTGCATGAGTTCAGGTACGATATACCTGATCTCTTGTAATAATTGCGGAGATGAATATATTGGCGAAACGGACAGACGTTTATGTATCCATATAAAAGAAGACCTAGATGGCAAACGAAAACTAAGACGAAGCTCCCCACTAGACACGCATAGTATACAAAAGCATAGCTGAGACGATTTTGAAGTAAGAGTCAATATCCTTGCACAGGAGGCTAAAACACCAGCGCGAATACTTTTTGAGGCTTTTTGGATAAATGCCAAAACTCTACAATGAATAGCAGGGACGAATGCCCGGAGGTCATACGCGACCTGACCCGTATCTTCGCATCAATTTCTGATGGGTGGTGCAATTATCAACGATATGCGACTATAATCGTCTGTTCTAAACGTCCTCATTGGAAGTCACGTAAAAAGCGGTGAGTTTTTCGAGAAGCTGTTGATCATGTAATTACCAAAGAGTTTTTCGTCTTTTTGTAAGTGTCATTGAAGCGTTTGGCCTAGTAGATTGTATATCAGTGTACCCTTCCAGGCTCTGAAGAAGGCGACACTGCCGAAACGTCAGCTAGTGTTGTATTGTATTGTGTTTCTCTATGGAAGTAAATGTATGCTGTTTAAAAACCTCGCGATTGCTGAACAAGAAAACGACGTATTCATATTCCAATTCCGAGGTTAACAGAAAGTCGATCTTGGGAACTTATAGCTTTTGTTTAGGTTTGCGAAAGAGGGTAAAACGGTCAACGGCAGCAGTGAGTAGAACAGTGTTGTTTAGCTGCTGTCATTCATTTTGCCCTACCTGTACGTCTTGTGTGATCTTATCGAGAAGTAGAGGATCGACTACCATTCCAGGCTGACTCATTCGTCCGGGCATTTGTCGCTTTTTACGAATTTGCTGGTAATTGTACTGTTGTCCATAAATAGAACTCTGAAATAGTACAATAAAGACAGATAATGAAGGCTAAAGCTTTTTTGTTCTTTCTCGAACGGATGAATTTTTTCAGTGCGTTAGCGGTAGATGTATGAGGTTTGTCTATAGCTCCCATTCATGAGGGGGTGCGTCCAGTGTAGTGGCTGGAGCCGGTCTACAACACACATAGGTACAATCTTGTACCCCAGAATCCCTAATAAGCCGAATAGCATGCTGCATCCCTTGGGGATTGATCAACGCTGATATCTTTCATCCTTAATCCTTCCATGATTGCAGAATATAGGTGGCGGTAAATCAACAATTTCATTAAGTCGGTAACTGCAGCATGCATTTAACGTAGCTTACCTGACCATATTGTTCTTGTTGTTGTTGACCATACAATGGATTAATGTTCGGCGACTGTCCGTACTGAGTACGGGTCGCTTGAGGCCGTTGCTGACCATAAAGGTTCTGATTTTGATTAAAACCGCTGTTGGTCAGCGGATTAATATTGTACACTTCGTCGTCATCGAGCTAAATAAGATGATTTTAGCAAGGATTTTTTACCGATGAGTTTCGAAACTCTGTCATCGTCAGTGTTCCTTTTAGCAGCTTTTTTTCTAAGTAGTTTATCAACTTATGCACACGTGGGGAAAATAGATGCTATTCCACCTCCAGAATGATAAAATTCACACGTCCGACCGACACAATGGTCGCTGAAGTTTGGTCTGATTTTGTATCAGGTGATGATGTCACTTTCACTTTATCTCTGGTTGGCATGTTTTCGTTATAGCGATAAGTGTTTTTGTAAAGGTGAATTTTGCAGCAGTACCAATAAAAATTCTCCATCGATGGTTCACAGCCTCTACCGTGGGTAAAAACTTTTCCTGGAGTTCGAACTTCAATGTACAACGGTGGTTCTTCCACCCAAAAGCGTCATCCAAGCTAAGATTGTGTACAAAATTTCAATGCGGAAGCACAGCTAGCAATAAACCTGCGCCATCTAACAGTCCAGCAAGTTGCTGGCGATGTTTTCAGCAAAAGGCGCAAAATGTATGGTCCAACCAAAAATGTGATCCTGTCCGTACTTTTGACCAAGTGCAACTATCAGAGGACTCATCTCTGCGACGAGAACGCATAACGTTTATTGGTGTCAGGTCGAAACACTCGATGATTAAGCGAATCATAGGTGGCACAGGTGAGAACTCAAAATATGATAAAAAAGTAATTGGACATTTGGAAGCTAACCATTCAACAAAAATATGGCTCATGACGTTAACTTTCTATTTACTGCCTATTGCAGTTTTTTGTGGCAGAGTATTAGGTGTGACGAAACCACATTGAGATGCTGAGATATTTGCAAAACTCCGGACTGCAGTGGAGAACGAACGCGCTGTTACCCTTTCAAGGGGCTAACGCGTTCACCACCGCACCATGCGGGGCATTGGTTTCGCCTGTTTCTCAGCTTGTTCTATCGATCAGCGCCATCAACAATCACCCATCAACCGTTAATAGAAAGCTAACATTGTGATTTCGACTACAGCCTCCGCTTACCTGGGTTCGTTGGCGATTTGGGCTCCCTAGATCAATCCCGTTGATGGGTGGCGTCGATCGATAGAACTAGTTGAGAGGAAGGCGAAACGAAAGAGCCGCATAGTGTGGCGGTGAGCGCATTAGCTCCTAGAAAGGGTAATAGCGCGTTCGTTCCCTACCGCAAACACCTGTGTTCCGGAGCTTTAATATGGCTTATAGTTTCTGACTCTAAATCGAGAATGTGTCATCAATGATTCGGGATTCGTGCTTTTCCATTATTCAGGAATATTTTCGTAGAAAGATGTTGAGTTTCCGTTGTTCCATGGCGATCTCTTCGAAGAAAACGGTGTTACTGACAAGATCCTACCTAACTTTGAAACTCCAACAAATGTACATGGCCTTAGTCGCTTAGTCAGTGCTTGACCGCAATGTTATCAAACGGTAGGCGCGAGGGCTAAAGTGATAACGCCTGTCATAAATAACTTCCACCTGCATAGTGAAGTTCGACGTATTCTTTAACTCTTGCTATCCCAAAAACATAAAGAATTCATTTTTTAGAACTCGACAAAATCATAAATGGGTCAAACTCTAAGTGAGTAGCAGTCTGAATGATCTCTGATGATTTAACAAGCAAGGATAGTTTCGTTAACAAATTTCTGATGGGTGACCCTAGTAGAGTAAAGTGAAGTAATATCTCATTATTTTATTGTAACACTAAGTGTTAGTTTAACACAAATTAAGTAATGAGTAAGACCAAACTAAAACCTCAATCGATTTTTGTGGCTGAAAAGATCACTTTATTACTTTTCATGGATTAAAACCATGAACCACAAAGTCCTAGAGATCTATCTCGATCAATAGCATTTGATTTATTGCTTTTAGCAGAAATATTCAGAAAGAAACCCATATATAACATACTCGTGGTCGATGAACACTACGATAGAACGTGTTGCTGATCTTCGTGTTGCCAATCCACTGATACATAGCATCGGCGTAGAACGGTGCAATGAAAGCATGATCCTAATATTTAATAGTAAAGTTATCAGCGACATATGTTCATTAGATGGTGGTGCGATTAGATTTTTAAGTGAAACATGTCAAAGTTGCCGATAGGACCGTCTACTACAACACACTGGACCCCGACGGAGAGAATTTGTAGAAGTCGTCGAGGGAAAGTGAGCGAAAAAATCACTAAGTACTCGTTCGTCTTTTAAGAGTGGAACGTACGATTATTTCATTTGAAAACCGAATCATAAAAATTGAAATAAACTATCCAATGTTTTTAAACTTTTTGAACTTTTTGTTTGCTGCCTACTCTTTTTAATGGCAGGGTGTGTGGTGAAATATAACTTCTACGATGCTGAGATATTTGCTAAGCTCCGGACCGCAGGTATTTGCGGTCGGGAACGAACGCGATATTACCCTTTCCGGGGGCTAACGCTTTCACAACCGCACCACGCGGTTCATTCGTTTTTCCCGTTTCTCAGCTAGCTCTACTGATGGCAATGATTCATAGAATAAGCTGAGAGACAAGCGAAACGAAGGACCCTCCTGGTGCGGTAGTGAACGCTTTAGCCCCTGGAAAGGGTTGTAGCGCGTTCGTTCCCCACCGCAAACACCTGCGGTCCGGACTTTTGCAATTATCTCAGCATCATAAAAGTTATCTGAAGCTTATTTGAAATTATTAAACTGAAATAATACTGTTATTTCCTCTCTTTTATCCTTTCATTTTGAACACGATGGTCACAATCTGTAGTAAACTCTAAATGAATGCAGCTAAAAGAGTACATCCTGCTTTGTTGCGATCTCTTTAGTAAAGTTCGAAAACGAGAAAAGATCGTACAAAGCTGTAGTCAACATAGATTTTAAGGAGCAGTAGCCTACGTACTATGCTTACGCGACAAAACTCAATAGAAGTCGTTAGTATATCGAAGCAGTTCACTCACTCTTTGCTTCGGCCACGTAGGATTTGGAAACGTCCACGGAGGTGTAGTGAATGGTGGTGGTTCAAATGAAATCATACCCATTGGATAGACAAAAGTATAGTTAAATCTGAATGTGTTGGGGTGAACATAGCTTTAGCCAATACAGCATGACATGAATGTTCATCTATAAGTTCTGTTAACATTTGTTCTAGGTGTTTAAAGACACAAGACTATGCTTCCATGAGTTTTACCATTATATGGATGCTGTACTATGATTTAAACAACAGCACTGCCATCTCACTTAATGAGGTGATTTAGGACCCGTAGTGTTTTTGCAGTGTGAAACTCATTGCATCTAGTGCCGGAGTTGGTTAGGATCTTAGAGAACCATTTCTGAGCATTTAAAAAGCTCAAAGTAAACTTATGATGACAAAATAATGTTGTCAACATTGCTGATAAATTTACCCAATTAGCAAGATCCAACCTCCACATCCTGTACGCGAGCTTGTCTAGCTACGAGATTGCGTGGTTAGGTAACAGTTAAAAAACATTATCGAGTTGTTCTGAATTAACGACACTGCTGGAAGGTAACCATCAATCCTTTCAGGCGTAAAACTTGATGCTCTCTTTGGAGATACCGGTTGCGTCGAATTTGACTTGGTCGTCCTAAGCTGATGAGGACACACATATTCCGTAACAGATGACCTCTGTGAATAGTAAGAAGGACTAATAAAACAGAATAATGCATGAAATGAAGAGCTTCCAGTATCACAGCATCCAGAACATTTAATAAGCACGAGGATGACATGACGAAAAAACCATAGAAGAGATGAAAAGCAGCTCGAATTGTCATTGCGTCTTCTAAGAAAGCAGCCGAGAAACTTGCCAAGAAAAAGCTTCGTACTCGTTTGTTAGCCACTGATCTATTGAGAGGCCTATATATTAGGAAGATCGAAAACTCCAGACTACGTAGTTGTATAGATGTTCGCTCAAGTTCAATCTTTTGGTGGAGCTCATTCATTAGTAATTATTTAAAATTGCCAGCAAAATTTACCGAAATCCAAAGAATGGACAATCGAAACCGAGATTGGTCTGCGTTTCTCTACCTGCTTGACCCATTAGTTGTGCATCCATCACCCATGCGCCAAACGGATAGAGAATGTTTTGCCATCCTATGAAATTATATAAAGTTATGCCTAAACAGTAACATTTAGATTACGATTGAAGAATTTGCACAAGAAATCGAAATTTTTAGAGATCGCTTAATTGGCAACTTTTTATGAGTTGAAAAGGGTTAATTGTTCACCACAAAACACTTTCTGATTGCTTGGAATTAATGGGAATTCAAATTGCTGATAGTGAAATGGCCAGTGTTGGAATGATTAGTTGCATAGTTGTTGTCAACCTTTGTCATATAATGTGCTTTAAGAACCCAATAATGAAGCAAAAGATCCATGTAGCACACTGGTCAGTGGCGCACTGCAACAATACAACTTGTCGTTCGTTCAATCCCGCGTCCACGGCTAACCAAAACCGCGCCCATCCGCGGTCAGCAAATTAGTGCAATACCAGACTTGTATGAAAAGATAAAAGACACTGCCACTTATAAGATAGTACGTATGGAAATGATGATGTATCCCTAAGGAATTACACCCAAGCTTGCATTTCATGCTTCTCGAGCAGAGCTAAGAAAGATTGGAGACAAAATTTAGATTTTCAGGATGGCCAACTTTCTGTTAACATCGGGGTTGATCAGTAATAAACTGTTTTTTTATTGAGTAGCTAAGAGTTTGTTAATAAAGAGATTTATACAACACTGGTTGATATTTCGGCGGCCGCACCTTCATCAGAGCCTAAGAATCAAAATCACATACGCAACCTATTTAGCCAAACGCTTTTACAACACTAACAGAAGAAACTCGAAAGCTAAGTGGGAAACATATTACTTAAACGGGGATTAAATGTAAAATACTGCTTAGAATTACAAGGCAAACAGTGTATACAGTCTCAACCTTTTTATTTACTGCCTACTATAATTTTTAACGGCAGGGTATCATGAGAAATACAACTAAGGTGATGCTACGATATTTGCAAAACTCCGGACCGCAGGTGTCTGAGGTGGGAAACGAACGCGCTATTCTCCTTTCCGGGGATAGCGCCGGTCAATGGAACTAGCTGAGAGACAGGCGGAACGAAGGACCTGCATGGTGTGGTGGTGAACGCGTTACTCCCCAGAAAGGACAATAGCGCGTTCGTTTACCACCGCAGACACTTGCGGCTCGGACTTTTGCAAATATCTCAGCATCATCTTGGTCTATACAGTGTTTAAAAAAGTTCTATCCAGGCGCTTTGGCTGAATTCTATTAATGCAAAAGGAGCTCTAACGAAGAGTGTCTTATTGCGTTGCGCTCCATGTTCATCTCTTGATCAGCGAGAGACACATTTCTTACCCATTTAAACTGTATACGACTGGCCTTCATCAATGAAGATAAGGAAGAAAACTATTTCGCATGTGATTGAAATTTATGCTTCGTGTTTGTTCTGTTGGTGTTCGGAAGTTTTGCTTGTAGACCACGTATCACGCGGGTTCGAATCTGACTTGGGATCTAGGTTTTGCAAATAGCTCAGTATCATGGTGGTTAAAATTCAGATAATTCAAACATATTCGCAAATGGCTGTGTTATCTTATTTTCGGCAATACCTTCCTCAATCCGAACGTCATAGTCAGCTTTACCGAGACTGTCCAAGTAATTTTGGTAGGACTGCGGTGAAAGTTGTCTCTCTTTTCTGCAACTAGTTGAGTCAAAATGTCTTAGAAATCCTAAGTGGAAAAATATGAGAAGAATGTAGCGCATAGCAAGAGTGGCTGATAAAAGGCTGTAAGAAATCAAAATTAGCAATCTGATTTCCACCTTGAATATGCCGGGAGCTCAAAATCGCTGTCGTCTGATTTCTCCAGAAGTAGGTGTGGTCCCTCCTTGGTCGGCAAGCGGCTTCCTTCGAAAATCAGAGAACGTCTTCTATTGCTGCTTGAAGTCTGAAGAAAATAATACTGTCAAAAGCAAGACATTAAGATTCGGCAGCTTCTAAACTGGGTTCCGTTAACAGCCTTCCCAACGTTAACGTTAGCCTTTCCGGCCCGTCATCTTTGCTTGGCTCTTCTACGACAATAAAAAATTTTTTGTTCTATTTAGATGAAAACGAAGTAGGCATGTCAAAGTCAGCTACTTCTACAATTACTGATAAGAGTGAGGAATGTTAGTTTGGCTAATTGAACAACTTCACTAAGTGGCATACGTTAGAAAGCAGGTGAAGAGTAAAAAGTTCAGTAGTAAAGGCTAGTGGAAGGTCAAGTCTTTTTCGACTACATGAAAAACATTGAGCCTATCAGTAAAATCGAGGTTCATGTAGGCATTCCAGTCCACTCCTCACTCTTATCATTACTCTTTTTTACACTGGAGAATCAATAAATAGTGTTTTTTCTAACCACCCGGGTTGAAGCTACTTGCTCATGCTGGCTAATATAATGTAGTTTGTCAAACATAGTTAATGCCTGACTAACATTAGATGGGTTAATCCAACAGAGGACCAACACCAACGTCACAACGATGATGAGAAGTTGATGCCACATACCAACTGGGTACCGTATCTTAAGGACACGAACGTAAATAAAAAGCCAAAAACATTATATATACATATAATCGATTAGCGAAACAGCGAAATGAATTACTGAGATTCAATTGAATTATTCAGATCATTAAATCTAGTTTCTTGCGTTTACAGTGAAGACGTAGAAGATTTGTAATCGTAAAGACAACCACATTGAATTTAATGGAGATTTAGAAGATATCTTTATTCCTGTGCATAAATTCCTTTTCAGTTTTACGCTCAACTTTATGGATGAGAGGCTGATGTGAAATCAAAACCCTTCTTCTCCTGCCTTTGAAAGGAAAGAGTAACTCACTTGACATAGTCAGTGCGACAGAAGGAACAATCCTCACTCATCTTTCTTTCCGATAACAATGTTCAAGGGACACTTTTCTGAGAAATAAAAAATGGCGTAACAAAAAGATCGGAATAGAAAGCGGTGAGTGTGCAAAGCTGTGTTCAAAGTGATTGAAATCTTGGTTTGGAGTTTCTTTGTTTGGTTATGGAGGCGTCTGGCCGAGTGAGTTGCTATCAACTTGACCTTTCCAGGCTCTGAAGAAGGCGAAATCCGCCGAAACGTCAGCTTAATCGTGAACAAAGAATAGTAACACCTCGCGTTTGCTCAACAAAAATTCGAAGAAAAAGATCGGAGAAATATCGTACAGCACTAACGATATGCGAGTCGTACTGTTGTATCGGATATGACAAAATTGTGGTACAGAAGTTTTCCGCGTTGGTTCTTCGTTGCTAACCATCGACTTAGTCACATCAATTCAACTCAAACGATGGTGCTGAGCTGCATGGTCAACTTAGTGAAAGTAGTGCTTTGATGACATAACAGTTTTCAGGAAGGCTTAGAGCTAACCTAACCGATGACGGAGTGCTACGGTGCCAAGGCACACAAGACATTCTTCGCTTCCGATGTCTCTGATAAAAACGATTTCTGGCGTGATTGTAAAGGAATTCCCGGCAAAAAGAAAATTATCGAACTTAAAATATTCAACAAATAAAAGTCTAGTAAATTCACTTAAATGAATACAACAATGAGAGCTTCCTCTTACCACAAACTATATAGAAATCTTTGATAATTGAGAAGGCGAAAAGAAGAAAAATGACTGAATGATTGATATGATGGGAATGAAAAATCGATAGCAGGCTGCTCAAAAACTGATGTTGTTGACAATTCCTTAGTGAGGTGAAATGAGGTTGGTGTAAAAGTTTAGATATAAACGTCATTAGTTCTTGAAAAACCATTAAATAACTATTAGAAGTATTCAAATCGTCTTCATTGTTCGGTTATTCTTGCCCTTGGATAAAAATCGTTTCGGATGCATTGGATTTTCACATTGATTAAGAGTTTTAAGGTCCTCTAAGATAAGACTCTTTCGCACTCTTATCACCTTACTTGAAAGGTAGGAATTTTGGCAACTTCATAGCACCACAGTAGGCTACTAAAACTGCTAGTGCTCTTTTTTATTGGTTGCTTCTCTTTCAGGATGGCTATGATCCGATTTCATGTATAAACGAAATGTTTGTGGAAAAGTGGAATTAGTAAGGAGCAGCACAAACAAAGCAGGGATATTCAAGCAGCCGAAAATATATTGTACGAGTTGGAAGACATTTTTCAGCTTATTTCCTATGATTTCTTTCCTATGGGACAATGCGCTATTTTAGATCTTTACTGAACATCTACCGTAATTTCATGAGCTTTCCGAGAAAATAGATATCTATGAAAAATGGTGGGTTAATTAAGCAAATAATTGTCATAGGGTTGTTGGTAAACGGCGCAATTAATCAATACACTCATATTAGTGGTATGAGGTGATAAGCCAGAGCACAGTTATCGGAAACGAAGATATCGGAAATGTGCTCGAAAGCTGATAACGATACAAAGACGGAACCCGGATAGAAGTTTAGGCAGTATTTCTTGTTAATAAGTCGATCAAGCGATGAATTAAGAGTGTTTTTGAAGGAAAAAAGAGCTGGTAAAGGTCAGAGAAACAAGTGATGGTGACGGTACTGTGAGATATTAACGCAAAGCGTTGTATAGCTCATAACTGTTAGATTTGTTCAATTATAAATGGTCCCACACAAACTAATAACACACTATAGGGGTTGTTCAAATCAGCTGGGTTGTACTGTCTTGCGGGAGTGAATTATGTAGAAGGAGCTCTATGTTGATCAGTTTCTTAGTGATATAATGCATTCGACTCCATTCGTATAATCACAGAAATGAATGACTAGCATAAATGGCCAGCGAAGTGAAAGTGTAGTCACTTTTTATTTACTGCCTATCCTTTTTCATAGCACGATATGATGTGAAATATAACCACAGTGATGCTGAGACATTTGCAAAACTCCGGACCACTAACGTGTTCACTACCACCACCGCCTTTCTCTCAGTTGTGCTCAGAAATGGTAGTGAATAGAAAATTATCGCATTGTGATTTCAACCAAAGCTTTAGCTTAGCTGAGTTCAATACCGA